AATACAGACTAGACAAAATACTAAAAAAAAATAGAACTTGCAATTCCCTAATGTCAAAAACAATCAAGAGAAATCAAGACAGGGTGGTACTAGTATAAGGACAGACATATAATCAACAGAACCATAATGAAAATTCAGCTAGGCGTGTTCACATATGCCTGTAATCCCAGCACTCTGGGAGGCCAAGACAGGGGGACTGCAAATTCAAGCCCAGCTTGGGCAACTTAGTGAGTCAGCAAGACCCTGTCTCCAAATAAAAACTAACAATAGGGCTGGGAATATAACTCAGGGTGAAGGCCCCTGGGTCAATCCCAGTATAAGGGGAGGGGGGCCTGAAAACTTCTGTTTACAGGCACAGTGGGCATCCTCATGTACAAAGTGTGATTGAAAAATACAGTGAATATTTAAAGTTTTAAAAGAAAATTTTACTACAGTAAGACACATTGCCATTCCCCTCAAAATACACCCCCCCCTCACTCCAAACATACTATCTGATCATTCTTTTTTTTTCTTTTCCCGGTACCAGGGATCAAACTCATGGCCTTGTGCTTGCCAGGCAGGCCCTTATGCCACTGAACTATATCCCCAACCCTATCTCATCATTCTTGCCATTTTTTGAAGCAGCTCTGGAAGTCCTGTTTTGTGAGTGTCTTTAGTTATATTTTCACGGCTGTCTGGATGTGCTGAATCAATTCCATTTATATAAAGAACTCAAAAAATCAGGACCCCTCTCCCAAATTTAAAGATCCAATCCAAAAATGGGCATCTGAGATGAAAAAACACTTCTCAGGTGTGGAGTAAAAACAGCAACCACTGTAGAAGTCAGTATGGATATTCCTCCAAAAACTAGGACTACACGTTCAATTTGACCTAGCTATTTTCCTTCTTGCTACCTTCCCAAAAGAAGTACAAGCATCATACCCATGTTTATAGCAGCAAAGTTTGCAATAGCCAAATCTTGGAAACAGCCCAAATGCCCATCAATTGGTGAGGGATAAATTTTTTTTTTTTTTTTTTTTTTTT